ATTGTATGAAATTTGGTGATTTACGTGTATTTTTAAATAATTGAAAAAAGTATGAAACTTTTATTTTGTTTTTCAACATTAATACACTTTATTGGTATCAAAAATACTCATATACGTATTTCGGAAACAATGCTTCCTTCTTCAGTGAGTTAGATGAACAAACTGATTTTTAAAACAAAAATGAAAAGACAACAAAAGCAATGGTATATTGTAAAAAGTAAATGATACTATGTTCAATAAAAATAATCAAAGTTAACCAAGAACTACACATCAAATTTGCCAAAAATGGAATTATAGATCGGTCCGTCGTTTTCATTCATACTGTTGTTTTTGTTCCTGTTGATGTAATACGACTCATATGCATCAAGTTCATTGCACTTGTTAACTCGGTGTAAAAGTTTCAAGTTTGCTATGCTCATTGTGTGACCGTTTTCAATCATATGTTTGGCTACGCTTGATTTTTCTGGTTCTTCATTGGTTATGTGTCGTTCATGTTCACCGTATCTTATGATTATAGCTCTCCTTGACTGGCCAATGTATTCTTTGTTGCAATCATTGCATTGGCAACGTATGATTTTTCCGATATGAAGAATTATGCGGTTTGTTCCCATAATTAAGTTGAAATTCATATTACTTCGCTTTGCACTATTATAATATGCATTTTATTTATAAAACATAAATATTTATATATAGCACACAATTGTATTAATGTGATGATTCCACGAAATAAATATTTGTTACCCTTTAACACCAATTCTTTTTTATTTTCACCAATTTTCGTTCTCATACTAATGAATGACATCCAAATCAATAAGCATGACAGGGCTGAATACTTATTTTACATACAATTCTTACATATTTTTGGACCTTTCTTCGATTTTAATGATGATTGTATGTTGTTGACGTCAAACCGTGTATAGTATCATCAAACTCACAAATTTCATTTGATAATATATTTAAGTTTTGCAAATTCGTTGGAATTTTTATTGTCATTATAGTTTTGAAATATTGGAGAATCCATAAGCGGCCTATAATTGAAATATAGTATCACATGGGCATCTATTTTTTGTTATCAATGTCTCTTTTGTCCCAATTTTTGCTTTATAGTGCGAATTTGGTCGTAGTTATCGTAGCATACTCTGTAAGACAAGAGCAATAGCTGGTGTTGAAACACCGTTTTAAAACGTCACCGTCTATTATCGTTTGTGGCGTTACTGTACGAAGACGTTTGTCAGTGGGCTATTTGGTTTTTAGTGCAAATCCATCTAAACACGTGAATGATAGTCTCGAGATGTATACTCATTATATACCAAATGATCATTTTGTTTCAAAATGCAGCGATGTGTTGTGTGTGCGAAAAAGTTTCGTCGAGCCGAATTCCTGAATGACCACATGCAATTACACGCGCCAGTTCAATTGAAGTGGAAATGTCCAAGTTGCGATATGTTTTTTTTCAAGAAAAGGAAATTTAACATCGCATTTCCAGAATAAACACCCAAACGATGACCTCAATGTTCTCGATTTCGTTGAAGCTGTACCTGTTGCCGTCTCAAATTTGCTGCCATTGATCTAAACTATCTGTTTTGAAAAAGGCTTCATAATCAATTGACGGCGACGCTTTATCCGTAATCGTATCAGATGCGTCAAAAAGGAATGCGTCTTCGCATACTTCTTCCGTGTAATGATAGCCCATTGGGATTGCTTCAATTTTTAAAACTCTATTTAACTTTTTCCACTCGTTTTTTGTTTTTAAATCACCTTCATCATAGCTGAAATAAAAATATTAAATGTTATTGTATAGATGTTATTGTTATGTGTTCACAATGAAAAGCGCTAACTATAAATTCCAAAAACAAACGTACAGCGTACAATTAGGTAAAAATTTAGTTAAATTCATGTTATGGGTTTGTGCGAATGGCTTGATTGTTAGCCATATGGACCATTTGAAGCGAAAAAAGTGATGCCACCATTCTCAGCGAAATTATGGGGAAACAAGGAACTATCTTTCCCTTTTTTTTATTCCAGTTGATGTAGTTGTGGATAGAGGAATCAGAGATTGCTTCCCAGAACTAAGAGGTCGGGGTTTGATCGTATAAGTTTCCAAGACACAAGACGATCTAAGAGGTGATGAAACGAGTCTCGCATCATTCAATGCTTATCGTACGCAAACGCACCGCTGATATACCGTAAATTGTACAGTAAAATTAAAAAAAAACATACAATGATTTTTGGATAGGATAGATTCGTAAGATCTCCGCAAGATCCGGATCCAAGCATGCGTACGCTGCCGCATGATGCATAGATTCTATCCTATCCAAAAATCATTACAAAATAATATTATACTAACGTTTTTTGCGCTCAATTTTTACCCAGCTTTGGGCTTTTTTCCAAAGCTTTGGAATTTTTCACACCATGTTGTCCGTATTTTTCACGGAATTGCGCGACATTTCACGGAATTTTTCTTCCGTGCTAGATTTGTTTTTAATGCCATTTCGCGCACTTGATTTTCGAGCGACTCGTTTGCAATTTTTGTTTAACAGTATTCCATTATGAACTTTGGAAAACTTCCAAATATTGTATCGATTTTGAAGACCTGATCAAATTATTTCAAAGGCAGCTTACCGTACAGTGATTTTCCTTCCAAATTCTTCACTTTATTCTTCTTCGGCAATTTCACGTGAACAGCTGTTCTTACATCACGCGTTCGGCTCAAAACCGAGAAAAAACAGTGGTTTTGAGCCGAACGAGTTCAATTTTTATGACTTGGGTTTCAGGAAATCTTTATCATGGTTAAAATCAAAAATTGCCAGGCTTTTATGGTGATATAATCATAGGATTCAAATATACTAAAAAACGAAAATATAGTATCTTATACTGAAATCAACAGTTGAATAAAGCTCACACCATCTTGTTTATTACTTTGATTTTGACGAGATATCAAAAGAAAAAAATATTACAATCGTATCAATACTCAATTAAAAGATGTATATATGTCTGTTTGAGCTGAAGTTTACCAAATTAATAAGCCTTCGTCTTCAATAGACCATACAGCTTCTCGTTTTCGGCTATATCTGCTCACATAAGACTGGAAATATTTGATAAAAAAAATATTTAGTAAAACTAGCTTTTGAAAGGCTCGCGCGAAAAGTTATCAACGAATACAAGACGGCACCCAAAGGGACATTGGACAAATCAATGTTAATAGCTAGGGGCTCGGAAGTATTTTTTATTGATGAAAAAACACACATAATCAGAAATATTGATATATTTTGAGTTTAAACAATAATAATCACCATATTCACGAATATTGGTACATTTTGAGTGTGAAGAATACTGTGAATAATCATGAATATTCCCAATATTTTGATTATCGTAAATATGAAAATGGCGGCAAATGATGTATGTCATTTTGTGGAATGTTATTTATAAAATAACACAAACTTAGAACACTTTTACCTATATATTTTTGATGTTCTTCGGTCAAATTATTTTTTTATCAAAGAAATATAAGTTTTTTAGGCTGAAATCTCTTTTTATATAATAAAAACAACAACTATTAATTTTATTTTGTGATGTGTGTGTTTTACATCGGTGCCATATACGAGCTGAATGATGACAAATAATTACGTAAATATGAGAAATATTCAAAATATTCTCAATATTTTGCATTTATACAAAATTGTCAAAACTGTGTTTATTTTGATTTTTTTTTTTCATGTTCCGAGCCCCTAGGTTAATAAACTACGTCATTTCTTTCTTTTGTTTCTATAAATCAACAATTTGACAAATTTATATATTTCACCATTGCCGATTCAATGTCGATTAATCAACTGATTAATTTATATAAAACAAAAAAAAGTCAGACAAAAAACTGTTAAAAATTCTTTAGCGCAAAAGACTACAGTTGCCCACGCAAATTGGCTTGAATAAAATTGAAATTTTCTAATTTGGTCCTCAAAAATATAAACACTTACTCTGGGATCAGCAATAAATTCAGTGTGTCCAGAAATTAAAGTACAAATTTCAGGCATGTTCCAAAAATCATATGAAATCAGACCAAGCAAATAGTGCTTTCTCTTCTTTATAATGACAGGTCCTACAAAAGTATTTGACACTAGAAATCATTCAGTTTTGAGAAAAAAGCGCCATTTTATATTTACCACCCGAGTCTCCTTGGTTTGTATTATGTCGCTGTCCTTTGTGTAAATTAACACAAAATTCTCGATCTTTTTGTATCAAACGATCCATATGTTGTTCATATACTAATGTTTGGCATTGAAAAAACTCGGCGGTTGTTGCATCAATAGATTTCAAAGGACTGACGGTCATATTCCGATCACGACCATCAGATTCCGTATAGCCAAGCATAGTGACAGTGTTACCCCCCTCTGACGCATAATTTTTATCAATAATTCGATAGTCAATCATATTAATTTTACCAATCTTTGGACCAAAGATCAGAGGTGTTTCTAATTCAACTACAGCTATATCATTGTGATAAGGATCACCTATATGAATAAATCAATAATTAACCCTTATCATCAAGATTTTCACGAATTACAGAATGGTTGAAGTTGAAAGACTTGCCACCGCTGTATTCAGGATGAATTGTAAAATCTTTGTTGGTGATATCCAAGGTATAATGAGGCTTATCTAATTTAAGCGCACCAAATTTTAATGTAAATGAATTTCCTTGATGTAAGCAATGTGCAACGCTTAAAATTTTACGCTCCGAAATAATGATTCCAGAACAAAAGTGGCTGCTGTGATTTTGATCTATATTCAATTGAAATCCCACCATGTACTTATAATGTTCGATATTGCCGACCAACTGTCCATCAATAATTGCGAAAACTATAGGGAACAATAAGAAAGTCAGTGTAAGGTGAAAATTTCGAAAAAAAAAATTCAGACTTTCTGAACACAAACTGACAGTGATTAAAAATTACCTGTTTTGTAAAAAGTCTATGAAAAAGAAGAAAGAAAAAATAATTCGTTTGATTCAGACATCAAATTAATTTATGTAGAACATGTCCATAATTCTTTATTATATTATCATCAAACTACTCACTGTTGACACAAATAAGAAAAACAAAGCGTTAAATAAATTCATTGTTTTTCAGAAACCAATTGCCTTGTTAATCAGTTGGATTTGAAATTGACACTGTATTAGATATTGTCTGACAACCTTTTATTATGAAGCACTCATCCGAAAAACGTATGAAATGCCATTCAACTTTTTATATGCATGGTTTTACATTTATTTTATTTGAACAATTGGAAATAGAGATATTCGAAAACCATGTGCGTCATGAATAGTAAACAATGATCTCTTCCCGTGTGGAAAAAAAGTGACCATGTCACTATGGAATGTTATTGACTATAGTTGATCTAATTCATTAGTTTTTAAATGTTGAATGGAAGACAATCGACTATAGTCACTCAGTCAGTCAGTCGATTATTTTGGGAAATCTTAAGTGTCGGGCGACTATGATTATTGTCAACTATGGTTGTTAATCATAGCTTACTCTGTTTGATAAAAGACATAAGACGGTTAACTAAAGCTGTTTGTTTTTACAGTCAATAGTCAGCCAATTTGTCCCAAAACATTCAGTCACTTTTATTGCACACGGGTTATGAAAAAATGAAGGTGGCTATAATAGATTCATTTGCGTGGATTGAAGAATTAAATAGAATAAAATTGCGTCGTGTAGTTCAAATTGTATATATTTGATGGGAATTTCATATATCAATGCTTATACTCGTATTTGACATGTATACTATACATTTTTATTTTCAAAAATACTCAATAATCGACTTAGACATTGCATTAAAAATTCAAAAAAAACATTATTTTTTCTCTAGCCAAATGTGTATGCGGGGTTTCATGGGGTCGAGGAATTAGTTTCATTCACTGAACGAACTGTAACTGTGTATATTTGGTATTTTCATTGTCAAGAGTTGAGTTCCGAATAGCAGACTATGCACACTGTACAAGTACATCGCAGTGTAAACTATTTTCGGAACATTCCACTTGCTCCGTTTCGTTCAACACACAACTGAAACAAATGGAAACCCTGTTTTGAAATCGGTCTGTATAATAAATGTCAAACCGGTTTACTTCGCCGGTAAACATTGTTTACGCAACTGTTTATATGAAGAAAAAATGGTTAGGGCAACTTTTCTCTCAATAAATAATAAAATTCCTTGGAATATAATCACTTTTTAAGTCGCATATTACCCACATTGATATGAACTCTAGAATATGTCATTACCTTACATTCTTTTTATTTCATTTTGTTTCAACGTAATTTTGTTTTTTTTTTGCAAATTTATTAAAGCTTACCGTAAACGAAGTATCCTCAGGCCCGTACCGTGACTGAAATGTTCGGGGATGCTGAGCATCCAAAGAAAAGAAAAAAAATTATTAAGAGATAAAAAGACGTTCATTTTCAGCATGTATAATTTATTTATTCAAAAAAGTATTTAATGTAAAGAAAACACGTTGACTATTTTTTTTCTTAAATTTCCCGATTAATACATATTGATTGAAACGCGAAATCATTTTTTTTTTTTTTTAGATAAAGTGCCTTGAATGTTTGAAATTTAAAAAAATGGCATTCTATTTGATCGTTTTATGTTATGTTGGGAAAATACATGGCGCATTTTCATATATACATGGTTGCACTGTGTTATTGTGGTGTATTCAGATCTGCGATCTGAGAAAATAAGGTCTTACTCAAATGACGCTCGGCGAAAGAAAAAAGATTTTATTTCTTTATCTCTTAAAACTAATGACAATGAGTGGTTTGTACGTATTTCGTAGTGCGGCGCTAATTGCACCATACTGATTTTACGTGTGAATACAGATCATTAAGTATTAACCGATTCGACATTAAGTACTCAACAGTTATTATCATCGATTACTGCGTTTTTGTCTTTGCAAAATTCGGATTTCAATAGACATCGACCGTAGATCGTTTGCATCTCATTCGATTGGTAGGTGACATGTCCGAAATTGGAACAGTCCAAGACCATTGAGGCGAAAACTTAATCACTCGGAATCGATTCAAATACTTCAACTAATTTTCAAAACTCCATTGTATCTAGTGCGAGGGGCGATTATATCCATACAAAAGCAAACCGAAGACTATGCGTACCAACTAAGCTATGCAAACTACAAAACGTAGTTGGTACGCGTAGTCTTCGGTTTCAGCCCATTGCTTTGAACTTAATTAAGTCAAAGCATTGCTGACAAATGAAAAGATATCCAATTTCACCTTGTCTGTTCAGTTTGAGTTTAATTCAAAACATACTGGTTTAAAGGAACATCGTCGTCGGAACTTGACTCACTTGATAAATAACCGAATAGGGAAGTAGTGTAGAAATTGAAGAGTGTAAACACCTGAAGCTGTTTCTTAAGTGAAGTATATAACAAAATAATGAACAAACCAATTTCAATTCAAATTAAATTTTGAATCTTTCATTGAATATTTTTCAATAAACTAAAAACACAAAAAAAATTGATAATTAAAAAAAAAATGATTTGCTCTGGTATATACTATGCTTTGATATAAATAAGCTGAATCAAACTCGCATTTTTCGGAATGTTTCTGCTCTCAGCGCCACCCATACGTAGACATCGTGAAATCGGTGTATTTTATATAAAACTTTTAAAGCACAAGCAGTGAACTTTTACGTTTGTAAGTTGATGTACATGTTATGTGGACAAAATTTGTCTACGTATAGATGGCGCTAATAGCCGATGATTTGGCTGCCAACTATAACATATAAGAAATGGATCGATCCGAAAACGCAAGCCGGAATCTATCTATATAATCATCTATATACTTGATCTGAAATTGCCAGTCTAGATAAAAGCGGCTTTATCTTTGCAAAATATTGTCTGTAATACTGAATAGAAATTAAAATTTTGATTTTGATAGAATATGCGAATGCAGTTGTTTCGAATTTGTGGGCTTCCTTCCATTGGACCTGAACATTTTTCTTGTAGGACTCGCATTAACTTATGCACTCAAGTTTTGTAATTCAATTGAACATATAGTGCAATTTTTTAAATGACCTGAGTGACTACTGCTCAAATCCATCGACGATTCGCAGATACGTTTGGCCTGAGATTTTGGAAAAAATCTTATGTTGACATCTTATATAGTTTAATATAAGAAAAACAATATATGTTCCATGTGTTGTTCTAAAATTCGCGATGAAATATTCTCTTGAATACCTTTTTCAATGTTTAAAGTTTCATCCTTCCTATCATCAAAATAAATGGATGTGGCTGTGACAATTACATCTATCCTCAATTAATGCTAATAGCTTTAGCTGGATATGGTTTAATTTCACTCACTAGGAGTGTTGATATTACATTTGAGCCTTTAGGCGTATGAATCAAACGGGATCCGAACAATATGCCAATAAATTTCCACATTTCATCGCTCTCATTTAAAAAACATAATTTGGTTGTAATTTGTTTCTTCGTGTTTTCATTTCATTATTATACGATTTTTATCGGTTCAAAACGAAAGTAAGTATATCTATGAAACCGAAAGAATGATTATATGCACAATTACGGTCTTAAATGGAAAGTGTACATAATAATGCATTGTTTCCATATGCACAGATTCGGTGCCCCGATTTTTATCAGGGACTGGTTCGCATCTAGAACTATACTTGACTAGAAAACGCTGGCAGTATAAATATACAAGGTATAGACGCAGACGCAACATACCCATCGCTGCTCATTCTTCACACAAATACATATTCACGCGTGCGTCTTACAATACACAGTCACTTGTTTTTTATGAGACGCACGCTTAAGTGTGTATTGAATACAGATAGCAAGTATAGATCTAGATGCGAACCAGTCCCTGAATTTCTTATTGATCAAAAGCAAAAATCAACTCTATTTTCAGTTCGATGGTTGAAACAGATTGACACCAGCGATTGTTCACCATGGATTTTGCTAATCAAATGTCACCAAGGCGAAATACAAGAAAAATCAATTGAATTTTAAATTTTTTTGTGGTAAAAAAGTTTATCTAAAGTGTCTTTCAAATTTACATACCTTGGTTGTAGAAACGCACAATAACTTTTTTTATTTAAATCACGTGAATTTGCTACATACCACTTGCTTCAAACGCGATTTGAAGAACCAAAATGTTGATAACGATTGAAATAAAAAAAAAGAGGTGACAAAATTTATAGCTTTTATGAACAGCTTACCTACTAATCAAACAATGTTTGAAGCAAGTATACAAATTTATATTCGATGCGGCAATCAACGCATGCATTACGCAAGACGTACACCGCTTAGTCGCATATACATCGAAATCGCTTACACACTGCGCGCTAAAACACATTGTATGTGAGACGCGTGTATGTGTATTGACAACTTGGTAAGTGAGTGTACTGCATATAATGTAAAATTCTTCTTGATTTTGCTGTTTTTTTAATTCCATCCAAAATTGAGGGTTCAACTCGTACGCGAGTTACATTGTATCGTATACATTGTAAATACACATACACGCGTCTCACATACAATGTGTTAGCGATTTCGATGTTAATGCGACTAAGCAGTGTGCGTCTTGCGTAATGCATGCGTCGATTGCCGCATCGAATACAAATTTGTATACCGTACAAATATAACATAGTTTGCTACTAATTACAATGGTTTAGGAAACAAGAAATAATGTAAATAGTACAAAACAGTACATATCAAATAAAAAAATTACATGTATTTAAAGCAAAAAATACAAAACTGAAGAATTCAATAAATGACGGGAGAAAACCGACATAATTAACAGCAACAATTATTAATAAGGCTTAAAATAAATTGATGAATGAAAAAATTATTACTTACTGAGCATTCAAAAATTCAATGATATACGACGCCCATCCATTTTTTATATATAAACAATCGTGCATCATTCGTGATCTTAGCGGTTTCTTCATCGGATTGTTCAGATGAATCAAGGAATTGTTGAATACAATAACGCAGAGTATCTTCAATCATTATTTCGCATTACTTTTTCAGTTAGATTGATTGGTATCACTTAGGTGAGTAATTAGATTAATACTTATATAACCCCCTCCTCAGCACTCAAATCAAATGACATGGATAGAAAATCAGTATTTATAGAAATATATTTTACTTATATAAAAATTAATTAAGAATTA